TCTTGCCATAAGGCCCCCCAGTTGGCCTGAGGTGTTCTGCATCCTAGCAGATGCAGCTTGTTCCTGTCTAGAGATCTACTGAAACTCCTGTACTGCCCTAAGGTGGAATAACCCCATATGCTCCTCCAACCCCAGGATGTCCCTAACTGTTCCTGACCCAAGCCTAGCTTGTTTGTGACTGCTCTTCTTTTAATCCCTTTCCTAGGAGAGTCTACAGCGGCATCTGACAGTGCATGATGCCACAAAGAGAAAACGGAAGGTAATGGTCTTGGGCCTTTGAACCTGACCAAAGGGTGAACTTGGCCTGAGCTTCCTGAAGCTGCAACAATGCTTGCTGGACTTCAGGGTGCATTCCTTGGGCTAGTACCCTCACAAAATGGGTTGGGGATGGCATGCTAGCTGAAGGGAGCATGGCAGGACCTAGGTAGGACCCTGCATTGCAAGCCAGAGCCAAACTTTCAGATAGACTTGGGCAGGATTTGAGTGGCTGGAGATGAAGCAGGGCTGTGCAGAAGCCCTGACCTGTCCCTCTTGACAGGTCAGGAACTACCGGCCACGGAGGAAGTGGCAGCAGCGCATAGGCCGCCAAACGCAGAACTGTGTGCGGGTGGAGGACAACCTGAGAAGCCTCTTCAGCCACAAGCTCTTTGTGCGGCCCAAGCAGAGCTGGTGGCGGCGCCGGGGGCATAGGACCAGCCCAGGTGGCTTCCAGTTCTTCCTACGCTTCAAGGCTAAATTGGAAAGTGACCTCTCGGGGCTCTTCAATGAACGTCACTACCGCCATGAGGTGGAAGCAGAGGTGAACCTCAGCTCCTTCTTCCAGCTGCCCCTGGACAGCAAGGTGGAGGGGGTGGCCTAGAGCCTGTATCTTCCAGGATTGGGGATGCCATCCATCTTCCCACCCTCAGGGCAAAATGGGGGCTTGTTCTTTGGGCACCAGGAGCACAGGTTATGTACAAAAGAGGTGAAAAGTCATAGGACCTGGTGCTTGTGCTTGCAGGGTTGTATCCTATAGTACTTACTTTCTCATTAGCATGTAAGAAAATAAGAGCTATATAATTTTATTTATTTTTATTTTTAGTATGGCAAAGGAGAAGCCATATCCTGTTGGATGGGGATGGAGAAACTGGTTTCCCTTCGGGCTAGATTATAATGCTCTTGGGGGTTTTTTCTTCCCCCCTCAAAGCCCTGGATTGGGGCTTCTGAAGTGACTGTCCCCTGGGGCAATACTAAGCCTAATAATAGCCCTACAAGTGTGGTGTTGTGTGTTGTGTTGTTGTTTTTTGTTTTGTGGTTTGTTTGTTTTTTTTTTCTCCCCCTTCTTTAAAAAGAGAAACTTGTACCAAATGTTTCCTGGTGTTCATAAGCAATAAAATAGCTGCAAATCCCTGAGCTGGTGTCCCATCTACTCTACTTCCTCTAAGGCCTTGGTCTGTGAAAATGTGAGGGCCTCCTAAAGTTTGACCACCCTGCCATCCTTCTCCAGCCCTATGTGGCTGCTGCATGCCCCAAAAAGAAATCTGCTGGAGGGCCCCTCTCAATACTGCCAGGAGATGGTGCTGCTGCATCAGAGCCAGCTCAGTGTGCAGCAATACAGCAGTTTCCTGGGTAGGCTGTGGAGAAGGGGGTTGTAGAGGAGACTAGTCCTAGTTCTGTTTAAAATTGCCCTCTTTTAAACTGCGGCCACTCCCTCACTAACAGTGGACTAGGGTGAGAGCTGCCATAAGACCCTCTGCTAGTTTTCTGTAAAAACCTAAATACTGCTCAGTCTAAAACCTCCACCACTGCCCTGGGCATGCTCAATGAGAGCCAGCCCCTCTGCTGTCTGGGGTAACATCCCAGGGCCAGGGGAGGAGGGGGCAGCTCAGCTCCATGGCTGGCTGTCTGGGGGTGGAGGAGAATCCCAAGTTGGGCCTGGAGCCATTCTGAGGTCGGGCATTAAGCTGTCAACATGGTTCCTAGCATCCTCATGGAAAGGCTGTTGCTGTTTGGGTGGGCTATGGTTGGCCTCTGTTGCACTAGGAGGGGGAAGGGGGTTGCTGTTCTCCCCTCCTTCCTGCTCCCTGGGAAGCCCACTGCTGCAGCTCTGCTTCCTGCTACCTCTTGTGCCCTCACCAGTCAGCACAGCTCCTGGCATGCCATGCTACATCCAGCATGGAGCTGAGGGCAGTAGAAGTACACAGCTCTGGGAGTCCCTTAAAAAATAATCTGCTGTACTATGCTGAGTGCACTATCTGCTGAGCTGGCAGGAATCTCTCATCATCTGTAGGCATGGACTGCAGCATCTGAGGGTCCTCAGGGCCATGATCCTAATCCACAGTACAGGACTCCTTTTCCCCCCCCCCCCAAACTTTCTGTGGCGTGACTTGGTGGGGGTGAGTGGAGACTAATGTTAGCTTGGACACACTTCTCACTGAAAGCAGGGAGAACCCTGCAGTCCCACTAGAGAGCACCCAGCAAGCTCCAATGGGGCCAGAGCTGGATCTGCTTGGGGGCATCACATCTACCCTGGGGTGGGGAACAGTTTCATAGTTTCTAGGGTCAGAAGGGACCTGCGTAGATCATCTAGTCTGACCCCCTGCCATGGCAGGAAAGAGTGCTGGTGCCTTCTGTTATGTGCTGGGTGAAGTCCACTTGCTGCCCCTCACCAGGCTGTGGCTCAACCCAAAACACTAAGGCAGCTGCCTGGAGGAAGGGCTGAGCTGTTGCGGTGCCTTGAGTGGATGAGGCTGGGGCTGTGCTGAGCTGGTTCTCAGCAACCTGGAGCTTTGTCTTTCCAGCCATCCTCTCAGCCCCTATGTTGCCTAGGGCTTCCAGCTATTTTCTCTCCAGCCCTCCCTAAGCTGCGTGTCCCTCCCCTTTCCCATGTCCATGCCATTCTCAAGGCTGGTGAC